TATTGCCCATGTTGGTGGCGCTTCATTATGGGAGAGTACACGTGATCAATATCTGAAGATGAGTCGTTCACCTTACTTGAAGGTAGCTTTGAATATCAAATCTGATTTTTTCAAAGAAGTGCAGTTTTTGATTGTTTTGCTATGTTATGAACATTGGTGCACACACTAGGTGATGAATATTGATGCATCGCACTAGGTATTTACTTTTTTTCCGAAGAAGTGTTAGGTAGATTTTTTTAATTGCTTTCCTGCTGCATATTATGTAATAATTGTCAATGATACTGTTCTATTTTAAACTCCTCTACTAAGCTTGTTTTCTGTTTTTAGGTTGTTTCTGCAATGGTGAAGAATGATCTGATGAGCCTTGTTAATACAAGGCCTCTGAAACTCTGGAAAGAAACACTTGCTCTTCTATGTACGGTGAGTATCTTAGCGGAAGGGTGAAATATTTCTTACCTTATAAATGATTAACAGATGATTCAGCATTCATTGTTTTGTTAAATGTTTAAATCTTTCCCGTTCCCTTGGTTGTATTTAATGAATTTAATATTACCTTCTCAGTTTTTTAAATCCTAAGCATTCATGCAATATGTAACTGTAACCTTACTGTTGGCAGTTTATAAGATTTTGGGATTGTCATGGATCACTTGATTGAAATGTAAATGCATTGTACATGGGTGGTACCCCTTTGGTACCGATGTTTATAATTTATACTATACATCTATGTTTTCTCAAAAAAAAAAAAATTTTACTGTTGGCAGTGACATTCAACTTGTATTGATATTTGTTAAAATAATGTGATTTATTTTGGATATTTATTTTTTCTCTAAATTGCTGGTATGATCCATGTAATGGATAACCTGACTATCTATTTTTGTTAGATGTTATGTAACCTGGTTGGCCCTTATTTGGGTTTTTCTGTTTTTGTAATAGTTATATATGCTATTGCAAGTGCTGATGTGATTACATACATAACACATGGTTAAAATAACATAGGATGGAGTACTCTGAAATTAATTAAAAACTTTTTGTGCAATTGATAGTATGTTACTAATTTGTTGGAAAAACAGTTTGCACAGAGAGAATAATGGACAATTCTCTGTGACACACTGGCTGCAAAGTTGATGGCTGCTAATAATACTCTGGCAGCAACGCTTTGTTATATATGTGCTGGAAATATTGATAAAACAGTGGAAATTTGGTCACGGACCCTTGCAACCGAACACGAACGCAAGTCTTACGTT